TTACCGTTCCGTTTGCAGATGAGAAAACCAAGTGGTTAAGTACTTTGTTCAAGGTCACCCACCTGGTGTGAGCCGAGGTTTGGACTCAGGCCTCAGCTTGTGCTTTTAATCTGCACACTCCCTTGAATGTGAATTTTGGATCCTAGTACATGATGCATCAGTATTTGTTTTCATTAAAGAAAATAATGCTTGCCCTGGCCAGGTAGCTCTGAACACACCAAAGTGGCAGGTTCAATACCCTGTCAGGGCACATATGAGAATCAGCCAACTAAATACATAAACAACAGATTGATGTCTCTCTCTCTCTCCAAATCAATTTTTCAAACTCTTTAAAGCATGTCCCATTGGGCCTCGGGGGTTCTGTTCCTCCTGGCCTGCTGCCACAAGGTAGGGAGGCCGAGCTCCAGAGAACAGTTAGTGAAGGCTTCCCCCTGGGACTGGTCTGGGTCTGCAGGGGCCTGGAGCTGTGCTGAAAGGAAGCGAGGCCCTTGGGAAGCATACAGCCCGGGCTCTGTGAAGAAAGGGAGTCTCTGTCCTCGTGGCCTGCCTGGCAGCCACACCTGTTTTGTCCTCCTTCTCCATATGCCCAGCCAGACGTCTCGCCCAGAGTGACAGCAGCAACTGGGGACATCTGCAGGAGCTCCCTCGCAGGCCTGACAAAGGCACTCAGAACCTGGCCCGAGCCTGCAAGAGAAGGGGCGGGGGGGAGGTAGGTGGGAGGGCCCAGAGACGTGGACAGCTGTGGGCTGGGGTGGCAGGCACGGCCCTGCCCCGGAACAGGTGAAATGAATGTGAACTGAGGAGGAGGGTCCCCTGGGTTTTCAAGGGTGAAAGACAGTCCTGGGACTTCTCAGCAAACAATCGCTTCTCTGAATGGCTGGGTGGTTTTGAGCTCGGGCTCACTCAGAAAGGACATGGCCAAAAGAGGTACCGAGAAGGCCCAGCCGCCAAAGGAGTGGCCCTGATCAGGCTGGGTAGGCGGCCCTGTGGGAACTCCTGGTGGAAAGGACGCGAAAAGCAGGGGCCGGGAGAGAAGCCTTGGAGGGACGCCAGGCGGGGAGGCTGAGCTGACGCTGGAAAGAGGGTCTCTGGGCAGAGCCCGAGAGAGGGTTGCCCTGAGGCTGATGGAGTGGAGCTGCCCTCTTACAGAAAGGAAAAAAACAAAACAAAACAACCTTGCCTAAACTAGATGCTTGAAAGGGAGAAGCAGCTGGTTTGGGGTAAGGGGGATTTAGAAAGAAACTAATAATTGCAGTGTCTCGTGTGAACAAAGCATGATGCCTTTAGGAGGCAGTGTTTTGTCCTGGGAGTCTCCCAAGTCCCTAGAGGGTGGGCATCCTTTCGTTATTTGTGTAATAAATACTTGACAGCGCTTGGGCTCGGAGAAGGCAAGTGCCGGCTTCCTAAGATTGCACAGCACTCCGGCTTTGGGTAGGCGGGACCCGAAGCCAGTCCCAGCGTCGTGGGCTTGTGATTTCCCCATTGTGTTCGTACCCCCAATTCCCCACACCCCGGTGAAGGCTGGTTATTCGCTTGTACGCCCTGTGTGTGCTGGCCCTGTGGAAAGGGCCTGCCAGAGAAGGGACAATGGAAAAAGAACAGGAAGGCAAGCAAGGTCCTGGGGGAGAAGGAAAACCCTCTTTTAAACAGTGAATGATTGCGGTAGGACATTAATGGAGGTGGGTTGGGGGGGGGGGGGGCGGTGGTGAGAAGCTGGCTTTCTTGAAAGCTCCCCGTCCCTCCTTTATTGGGACATAATTCACACACCACAGAATCCACTGTTGGGAGCCCAGTGGCCTCAGGCTGTCCCAGAAATGGCCACTCGTGCTGGCCGCCCGGGACAGTGGCACAGGGCAGAGCACTCTGAGCTAAGCCCAGAGAGCGGTGCAGCCTTTCGAAGGCCACGTTCTGGCCTCACAGGGACCCGGCGTTTGGGGTCCTGTCTCGGGCACTTTGCTTCCTGGCGTGTTTCTCAGCAGACACGCTCCCTGTGAACTGAAACTCTGGACTCCTCTCTTTCCTGCAGTCTGTGAAGGCCAGCGGTGGAGAAAAGCCCCTTTTGTTCCTTCCCCAAAGGGCATCCTTTCTGGTGGCCCCAGAAGCCTGCAGAAGGGCTTGCTGGAGGTTTCTAAAACCAAAACTTTCACTTCACACGCCAGTGATTCTGCACTGTCATATCTGCAGCAAAACTGACCTTCAGGGCTTTCTCGGAAGAGCCGCAGCTTTCTTTACGGTTCCTCCTCTGCCTGCCTCTGCCAGGTAGGCTTCCCCTGCCAGGCGTGGCTACCACCCCCTACACACACACACACACACACACACACACACACACACCTTGAGCCATCATCCCCTACACACACGCACACACACCTTGAGCCATCATCCCCTACACACACACACACACACACACACACGCGCACGCGCGCACACACACGCATACACACACACACACTTTGAGCCATCATCCCCTACACACAGGCACACACACGCACATGCACACACACACACCTTGAGCCATCATCCCCTACACACACACACACACTTTGAGCCATCATCCCCTACACACACGCACATGCACACACACACACCTTGAGCCATCATCCCCTACACACACACACACACTTTGAGCCATCATCCCCTACACACACGCACATGCACACACACACACCTTGAGCCATCATCCCCTACACACACACACACACACACACACACACGCACACACACACACACACCTTGAGCCATCATCCCCTACACACACACACACACACACACACACCTTGAGCCATCATCCCCTACACACACACACACACACACACACACGCACACACACACCTTGAGCCATCACCCCCCACACACACACACACACACACACACACACACACACACACACGGCTTTTCCTTCCTCTCTTCCTTTCTGAGGTAGGCTGCATTGGGAGTTCCGTTGGGGTGAAGGGATACGTTGCTCCAACATGAGCAGAGCGCCTCCAGGTCGCTGACTTCTGTTCCTCCTGCATCCTGCCCTCTGCCTCTGCTCCCGTGCTGCTTCCTGGTCCCCCGCCGCCGCCCGCGTGGGACGGGGAGAACGCCCCGACGGGACTGGGCTGGGGAGCGCCCGCTGGAGTGGCTCCCGCGTGTCCCCTGGAGGCCGGGTCCTGGCTCCTGGCGGCAGGCTCTTCTAGGAACGTGCCCCCAGCTGGGAGTTCCGGTTGGTTGGGAACATCCCTGTGCTGGTCCGCACTGGCTCTCGGGGGCTCCTCCGAGGGGCTGGGCTGCAGACGCAGGCCCGGGTGGCCACAGGCCTGCAGAGGAACCTGGCAGCGGTGCCGGCCGTGGGCACTGGAGACCAGGTGGTTTTGCTTTTGCTTTACTCACTTGCATGAGGCGTCAGTGGGAAGGAGAAACGAGACAAGTGGAAAAAACAAGAAGGTTTGACACTGAGCCTCTGCTTGAGAGTCTAGTCTACTTGGGGGCCTGCATACCGGAGCACCGGACCCTTCAGTTATTCACTGCCTTTCTCGGGGTGGGGGTGGGGGCAGGAATAAGAGCGGACAGGTGACAAACAGTTGGCTTGCACTGTGATCTCCTGCAAGTCCCTTAGCCTCTGAACCTCCGTGTCCTTATCCATAGAGTGAGAGGGACGGAGCTCTCTCTCGGGGCTATAAAGCAGTGTGTGTGGGGAATGTGCTTTGAGAATTGCCATGAACCATTCTGACACAGAAGATGTTACATCGGAGAGCTTTTCTTTTTGGAGGTGGTTCCCCACAGCTTCTCCAGTCACTTCCTACAATCACAGAACCGTGACTTTTAAATCGGAAGGCATTTCAATAGCTCATCTAGTCCAGTCCCCTGGCATGATTACCTTTATTTTGCAGGTACGACTGTTTTAAGGTGTCATTACTTTGACCTGTCGGTCCTATCAGGGTGCAAATAAGCCCTTTTCCTCCTAGGTGGGGTGTGAGCTTGATGCACACAGGTGCTCAGGCCACCAAAGGGTGGCAGAGGACAGGAAGGCCATGCCCTTTGGGAGCAAGCATGGGTTTTTCGAGGTTAGGCAGAAGGCCTCAGTGGTGTCTGTCATCCACTGGAGGGGATGGGGGGGGGGGGTGCTTGGGAGCATGTCCTTGCCCTGCAGGCGCAGAGGGCCTGAGAAACCCTCTCTGCTGTCCCTCCTCTTCCTGAGAAAGCAAGGGATGCACCTGCTTGTCAGGACCGGCCACGGGGGAAAAGTGGCTGCCAGAACATAGTGTATTCTCCAGTGTTGTTTTATTCCTTCCAATGAGGATCTCCTTCTGACCCATCTCCTTGGAAAAACCAACAAACAAAAACAGAAATGGAGGGAACCAGGAAAAACAGGATTCCCTCCCCTGGACTTTACTGGCTCTGGAGCCCTGGGGGGGGCGGGGAGGGGGGGGCAAGAGAACCTCCTGAGTAGCAGAGATGTTTCCAATCCTTTTGGCAGCCAGACAAGGAGGCTTCAGGGAGACAGTGGGGAAGGGAGGGGAAATGTGGGCATCTGGTGAGTGAAAAGTTGCCCAAACTCCGGCCTCAGTTGCTAGAATTAAACTCGGCAGTTTTCACCAGCTCTAAGGAATCGAGACGTGGGTCTTTCATAGGGGCTGGGGCCAGTTTCTCCACAAACTCTGCACGCCTAGGATGCAGATGAGCCGAAAGTGAAACTTGGGAGGACTGTTCATGGAAGGGCCTCGGAGAGAGGGCTGTGCATGATTTACCGTATCCAAATCCAGAGAGTAATTCTTTGTGGAAGAAAAGCGACCTGTGTCCTCCCCAACATCACACACACACACACACACACACACACACACACACACACTTTCCTGGCAGGCCCCGATGGGTTTCCAAACATTTCGTCACCGTCTCCTCCTGACCTTGGTGTGCAAGGAACGAGCCGCGTGGCCCGCTCCAGCCAGGCCGTCGGGGGGCGCCGCCTGCGCGCCCGGGGCGGGTGGCGGCGGGCTGCAGCGTGGAGGTGAGGGCTGCTGGAAATCCCCAGCCCCGGCGGCCGCCCGAGGTTGCAAGACGCCTTCCCGGGCCTTATTTGGTCGCAGGAAGTGGGCGGCGCCGGGCCTGCTCGCGGGGAGGCCGCCGACCAGAGGCTGTTGTGCTGATGAAGTGGTAGAGCTGGTTCCTGCTCGCCGCCGGCCGCGCGCGCCGTCCGGCCGCCCGGGCTCCGCGCTCCCAGCGCCGAGTTGTGCAATCCTTTGTAGCAGCACCTCCGAGAGCCCTCCTCCTGCGCTGCTGCCTCTCGCCCTCGCTCTCCTCTTTTTTTTTTTTTTTTTTTTTTCCAAGCTGTGAGCTCAACCGATGAGTCAGAGCAGTGCAATCCTGACACTGCATCGCAGGACCGGGGGTGACACGGAGGGAGGGAGGGAAGGAGAGCGATCGCGAGGCGGACGCCACCGGCGCGGGGTGCGCCGAGGCTCCTGCGCCCGGAGCGGAGGGTGACAGCCCGCGCGCCCCTCCGGGTCCCCGCCCGCAAACTTCCCCGTCCCGGGAGGAGGCGCGGGCCGGCGGAAGCCCTGCGAGCGCCGCGGGAGGCGGCGGCGGCGCCTGTTTGTTTTTGAAACCGGGGAGTGCTGCGTGCAGGCGGCTTGGAGTCTAAGAGGCGACCGGAGGCGGCAGGCAGCCCGTGGCGAAGAAGGGACAGCCGATGCCCGAGCTCGGGCAGGAGCAGGTAAGGGTGGTGGTGGGGGCTGCCGGGTCCGCGGCCGAGGCCTGCACGAGGCGAGGCGAGGCGCTGCCCGCCCCGGCGCGGCGGCCGAGGTCCCCGGGCTGCGTGCAGGCGGCGGCGTGGCGCCGGGGCTGCAGCTCTGCAGGCGCGGCCGGGAGCGGGGGCCCGGGGCGCGGCAACTTCTGCGGCCTGGGCAGCGGTGTGCGTGGGTGTGCGTGGGTGTGGGTGTGCGTGGGCCGCTCGGCAGCCTCCCCCCCCCCCCCCCCCCGCAGCTGCGTGTGCAGCGCCAGCCCGCCGCCCGCCGTGTTTGTGCAGCTACGCAGCTCGTGGCGCGCGGCCCCGGTCCCCCCGGGCGCGGCCCCGGCAGGAACACCCTCCCCATCCGCGAGGCTGGCGGCCCGGGAACACGGCGGCTGCTCCTCCTCCGCCCGAGCGAAACGTGGTGTCTGCAGGACCGGCCAGCGTGACATCTCCGGCCCGGGAGGCGCGGAGCGGGGCTCGCTGAGGACAGGAACTTGGAGCGGGAGGCCTGTTCCCCTTCTCCTTCCAGGGTGCACGGGAAAGGGGACCTGGGGACTGCCCGCGCTGCAAGTTTGGGAACAGAGGTGCCGGGGGTGGCAGCAAACAGGCAGAGAGCCCTCATTTAGAGTGTTTGGGGCGGGCCGGCGGCCCCCCCCCCCCCGGACCCCGGCGCTGCGGGTGCTCCTCAGACCTGTCACCCCTCTCACCGCCCCCGCCGGCCCTCGTGCTGGGTTTGGCGGTGCCTGTCCCAGACGCAGGAGCCTGGGTTTTGCCTGGCCCCTGCGTAAGGCTAGCTTGTTGGAGGCAATCATAGCTCCTCCCCTACTCACGCAATCAGGATCGTGTGCACCAGGTTGCCCCTCTGAAACCCCCTCCCTGGTGCCTCAAGCCTCAGCCCCCATGAAAGCAGACCCGGAGGAGATGACCTGCCACTCAAGAGTTGCAGGCCTCTGGGTGTCCCAGCCCAGCCTCCAGGGTGAGCTAGCTACGAGAAGGATGAAAGGGGAAGTTACCCGCCCCATGTAAAACTTTGTTGGCCAGAACTCTGTTGGCTACTTCCTGCTTCCACCATCCCACGTGGGACCTGTGTGCCGGCCCCCGGGGCCGGTGGGATGGGTGGAGAGCTGGCCGCGGTGACTCTGAAGGCCTTGGAGGCACGTGTGTGCAGGGGGTGGCGGCGGGGGAGGGGGAGGCCCGGCTTGCTCCAGCAGGGGGAGCCTGGTCTGGCCGCGGCCTGGAGGGCTGGCCTCTCTCCTGGTCTCCTGCAGCTCTGAGGAGCAGCCTCTTCTCTGGGCTCCTGCTGAGGGGGGAAGTCCCCCGTCTTGCTCCAGAACCTCCCGGGACGGTGTGGCACATGCCCCTTTAGGATCAGAAACGCCCCCTTTCCACGAGGTATTAGATTGCGTCAGGATGAGGGGGAAAGGAGAAACCGTCCCAGGCTGAGAATTCAGGGGTCCTCATTTTTTTTTTCTTCTCCTGCTCTGGACACTGAATGACAGGGGTGTAAGCATTCAATTACTGCGATAAACCTCCTCCTTGCACGGTCCTGGCCAGGCTCCACCCTAATTGGCCTGGTCTCTGGCCGATGACTCTCGTCTGAGTAGCTCCCAGGGGACAAGGGGGTCAGGAACCTGGAGGGCACCCTCCTGCCCCACCCCCACCCCACCCATGAAGCTTGCTCCGGGGCTGCCTGCCCTCTTCCAGTGCGGCTCTCCAGGGAGCCCTACCTCCTCTCTCAGCTCCCCACCCCGCCCACCCTAGGAAAGAGTGCCCCTGGGGATGACAGTCCAGCTTCTAAGCGTGGGATTTAAAAATAGTCAGAGCCCTGGCTGGGTAGCTCAGTTGGTTAGTGTCGTGATAGGCAGGGTTGTGGGTTTGATCCCCAGTCAGAGTACATACAAGAAGCAACGAATGAAGCATAAATATGTGGAACAAGTTGATGTTTCTCTCTCCCTTTATCTGTCTCTCTCTAAAAATCAATATATATATATAATAATAAACATATATGACACAAATATATATAATAAAATATATGTAAATCTATACAAAATATATATTTATTATTATTTTGTTTTTGTTTATCCTCACCGACAAGAGGATATTTTTTTCATTGATTTTAGAGAGGGGGAGTGGGGAGGAGAGTCACAGAGAAACATAGTGTGAGCAAAACACATCAATTGGTTACCTCCTGCACAGCCCCCAACCAGGGCCGGGGTCCACGCCTGCAGCTGAGGTACGTGCCCTTGATTGGAATCAAACCTGGGACCCTTCGGTTTGAGGGCCGATGCTCTGTCCACTGAGCCAAACTGGCTAGGACTGGACTACTGCTTTTAATAAGTGGAGAGACAGAGAGAGAGACAGAGAGAGGGAGAGAAAAGACAATATGTAGTTACAGACTTAGCTGAGGACCTCTGGTGGCTCCAGAACCCAGGGGAGTTCTGCCCATGGAGCCAAGGCCTCTGGGCCCCTGAGTTGGAGGGGAGTCAGAGAAGGATTGGGGGGGGGGGGGGGGAGGCGCCCACAGGGCTTAGTGCCTGGAAGGGGAATGGGCGCAGTCCCGGACTCTTTGGCCTGATAGTCCCTCTCCTGTAGCTGGGTCTCCCGGAAAGAAACATCGCTGCTGGTGGAGGAGGGATGGCCACAAGGAGCTGGAAGTTTCTTCCTTTCCGTCGGTACCCCTGTTTCAATTGCTACTTTGGAGAAGCCTCAGTCTTCTCAACACTTATTTCCACTTTATATAGTCATTTGTGTATATACTGTAGAGTGTTAGTTAAAAAACATCAACTCAGCGTCCGGCTCAATGGTTGAGCATTGACCCATGAACCAGGAGGTTATGGTTCGATTCCCGATCAGGGCACATGCCCATTTTGCAGGCTCGATCCTCAGTGTGTGTGTGGGGGGGGAGGGGAGGGTATACAGGATGCAGCTGATTGATGATTCCATCTCATCATTGATGTTCCTTTTCCTCACCCCCTCTCCCTTCCTCTCTCTGAAATCAACCAAACAAACAAACAAACAAACAAACAAAACACCAGCTCAGAGCTAGAGGCTCTGTACCTCCCCCGTAGAGTTGCAGCGAGGATTCTATGAATTGGTGCCTGTGAAGTCCTGAAAGCACACGTGGCCTCTGCTCTCGTGTGAGCTCCGCACTGTTCCCACAGGGCCTGCCTCCGGTAGGTGTTCAGTATGTGTTAGTGAACACATACATGAAAGAAAGCTCTCCCTCAAAAAAAAAAATGTGGGCTTGGCATGTGGTGGGCTCCGTGAACCCTGCTGCTGGCACTCTTACTGCCCCAGGGACCCTGGAGCTGGTGAACCCAGTGTCCTGGCACTGCCCTGTGGCCAGCCTCCTAGAGAATGCGCCCCCGTCATTCTGACCCACTAGGGCCAAGTTCAGCTGTCTGCCTTTTGCTCCTCCTGCCTGGGACTCTGCTCACCCGGGCATTTCCTTGAGCTAGGCACGCATGTAATACGTGCATGCATATGCATCAGTTTGGAAGCAGCCTGGAAACTCCATCCCTCCCTGACTCACCAAAGGTTGCAGGAAATGCAGCCAGTGGTCTCGTTTCTGTGGGAAGGGTTGTTCCAGCTCCAAAGCACTCTGATTGTGGGGTTGACCTAAAAAAAAAAACACACACACACACAACAACTGTGTGTGCCTGTGCTGGGCTGGAGCGCTGAGGAATGTGCTGAGATCCCCAGTTCTTACTTAAGGGATCTATCTGCATTTGCATTCAAAGCAACATCCAGGATACCCTGAGACTGTGAGGTCATTTTATGAATCAGAAGCATTACAGCATAACTCCGGTGTCAGGAATTGCTGTTTGGAATCCAGATCGCCCTCCCTCCGCCCCCAGCACACACACACACACACACACACACACACACACACACAGTAACAGGGGCTCTCACAGTCATATACTTGGGAACAATACCAGCAGAACTTGTCCACACCCACGTCCGCCCCCACACTCAGAACGCCATTCCTGGATGGCGTGTGGACAGGACCCGGGCAGTGACTGAAGGGAACTTGGCCGGTGCATGAGAACAAGGCCTGGGTAGACCTGGGTTCATACTCCAGCATCTCGACTTGCTGGATGGCTTTGGGCATTGCTTCACTTCCTCAACTTCAGTTTCTTCATCTATACAATGAGGACGGTAATCACACTTCACAGGGTTGCTATGAAGGTTAAAAAAGGCCCTGCGTGCGACTCATCTGGCCCATAGTAGGTCCTCAACAGGGAATGGCTGGCATTTCACCGGCTCCCACCCAGCTCAGCTGTCTGCCTTTTGCTTCTCCCTGGGAAGAGAATGTGAAGGCTGTCCTGCCTGTGTGGGAGGAGGGCAAATGAGGCTTTATTTTTTCTAACTTCTCAGGCCGGGGCCACAGCGGCCTACATCGGCCCGACCCTGGTGCTCAGTGCATGCACCCTTGCAAGCTTGCAAGCGATTCTGCCCCTGCTCAGCTCGGCTTCCCAGAGATCAGATTGTACCGTCAGGACTCGGCCCACCCAGGCCTCCGGCTGAACGGCTCACATGGGTGGGAGGCGGGCTGCTCCCTCAGCCCCAGGAGAAGTCCCCTCGCCTTTTGCTTTACCTGGAGCCTTTCTGGGTGACCTCAGTGGGGTTTTTGGGTGGAGCCTGGGGTGGGAGTTGTCCCTCCAGAGATCCCTTTGGCTCCTTCACCAACGGAACAGGGGAGAGAGGGTGGCCCACCGAGATATTATATAAGAGGAAAGTTGCCACACGTCGGGAACGAGCTGGGGTTTTGGCGGGGTGGGGTGCCTCCCGGAGGGAGGGGCGCAGTTGCTGCTGGCTGTTTTGCAGGGCCGGTGGGGAGGAGTGGGGCCGGGGGCCTGAGGCTTTCCCGGCAGTGCTTTCTGCTCTTGCTCTCTCTGGAGCGTGGCCTGGGACTGCGGTGGCCTGAGAAGGTGCTCCCTGTTCCCTCTGCCTTCCTCTCCGGCCGCAGGAGCTCTTGGTGT